CACTGTGTATTTTAGCAATATATGTGACGAATTCTTCAAAATTAGAAGAGTAACTTCATATATACTCAATACTTTTATCCTCGTAATATATGTGAGCAATTCTTCAAAATTTGAAGAATAACTAGTGAAATATTTTTTCTACAAAAGATATATGTGGGAATGAAATTTATAGATGCACAATTTTTTCCCTTTTTGACTTGTGCACATATACACGTGTGGTGTGCTACGAGAAATAGAAACAGCACATTTTCCCCTATAAAAAGTAGTAGAAACAGATCGAACTAAAAAAAATAGAAACAACATATTGTGTGCTATTTTTTTACCAGCGTATGGTGTGTTATTAGGCGCTGAAGATTTAAAAAAAATGTAGTTAGGCGAACAACAAATGCAAGCGGAGATTCTAAAATAAAAAAACAAATGTAAGCGGAACGTTCCCCAAATGCGGCCAGAAAGCACATCATGTTCGCAAGCATCAGCCTCAAAGGAGGCCCACGTACAAATCGAGAACAGGAAAGAATGGCACAGGTGTATTTCTCCTAAATATCTGGGTATAGCGCTTGAAAAGTCTGAAGGCACCGATCCTAAAGTGACAACGCTCGATTGAGATAACGGCCACCATGGAGATCGGCCTCCAAAACGCCTCTCTTTGATATGTAAGTGTATATAAAATCAAATTAACAGTGTGACACTAAAATACGGGTGTTATATTGACTATGAGTAAATACTGACCTGCTTCTTGAGCAATGACCATGCATCTATAGGACCTAATTTGTCAACATGGTGGCAATACACAACTTTCATGCTCCGGGCAACAGTGTCATGTCTTGTGGTGATGAGGACTCTGCTACCTGGGTCGCCATAGCTAAAGGGAGTCATCAACAGTTTGTCCCATTCGCTGACACCCCACATACTAAGAATACTAGGCCCGTAAGGGATTCATTTTTCTGTTTTTTTTGAACTTTTTTTTAGCACGGTTGTTGGGGTGACGCGTGTCCAGCAGTTTTCCTGGGTGCAGTAAAAAAATCTTGGTTGGATGGTTTTAGCACGTTTGATTTGACGTGGTGATTGCCAAAGTCAGATGACCTTGTCTATTGACGCGTGTGCATGAGATTCTACCGGAGAGTTCCTCTATATTATTATACTTGTCTTTTGATATTACGTGGCAGTGGCCTATTTAGACGGTGGATGTGGAGGCGTCTAGAGCTGTCTCTCTGGACCTCTCGAGAGGCATCCCATCAAAACTGCTTCCGATGTAGACGACTATAAAATGCCCCCGTTCATCTCCCAGATCGCGGCTCCCACAACCATCCTTCCCGTTCTCTGCCAGGCCCGACTGCCGGCATCCAAATCCTCTCGGAGCGACGGCTTCGCATCTACCCTCCCCGGGCCAAGGTGGTGGCGCACGTAGCCATCGCACCTCCTCCACTTCGGCTACACCACCCCCTCTTCACATACACCCTGTCCTAGCCGGCTGCACAAGGGAGGCGACCGGGCACCTCCCAGAGGAAGACAAGACGGGCGACCACCGGGACAGCCAACCCACGGTGCTGGATGGCGGAGAGGGACGATGGTGACGCCGCTCGGCGAAGAGGTGGGATGGAAGGGGTGTTTGTGGTGGTCGGTCGCGGACGGCATGGTCATGGAACGGCGACTGGGCAGACGAGCGGTGGCGGCACCAGGCGGTGGGGCTCGCGGGGAGGACACGACCGCGTCAAGTTGGTGCTCGCCAGCATCCTCACGGATGGGTTGCTGTTCGCTGCGGCCGTGAAGCCAAGATTGAGAGTGTGCAGCGCCGTCCTCGGCACATCCCGGCGACCGCCGCCCCAGCAAGCCGCGTCACCGCCACGCATCCCCCATGCCCCGAGTGATGGCGTTTCACCTGATGTTTCTCCCCACAGAAGCGCAGAAGGGAACCAACGCGTCATCTGCCAGTACGGGCGAGCGAGAGGATGATGCTGACGGATCTGCTCTCTTTTTTTCGGCGTTGCTCTCAGTTTGGTCCTAGGCGGTGCCCTTCCGCCTTCCTCGGCAAGCCTACAGCGCCAGCTTCCAACTTGGTGGCGGCGGTGGACGAGCCCACTGCCCACGGCCTTCTGTCCTCCGGAGGCGAGCCAACAACGAGCTGCTGCAGTGTTTTGCCCCTCCTTTCCCCACGAGCTCTCGACTCCTCCTCTGTCACTCACGCGGCAAGCAGCGAGCTAGCAACTCTCAGGCGGTAGCTCTCCAGTTGGTCGTCACTTTATTGGCAGTAGCAACACCACTAAGGTATGCTCCTCTTTTTGTTCTTTTTCACATCCACTGTTCAAATCTATATAACTATACACACCATAATTATTACTAGATTAGATGATAGTTTGTATTATCTAGACTTCTGTTTTTACTGATGTAAGGGAAAAAACATGTGGGAGGTTTTTTTGCTCTTGGTTTGATATGTCGTTGCAGAAAGGTTTTGTTTTACAAGGAGATGAACTGTCATTGCTTACAAGTTCAGATCAGAAGGTGGGTGCATATAGTACAGAAAATTGTATACCTAATTGATTATTAGTCTAAACGGAAGGTTTACCAGGTATGTGTGCAAGTCTGTGGGGAGGACATGGATTTTGAGATCCAGCTCCTGCCCGTATGTGCAAGAAATTCATGACCTACATCTCTAATATAGCATGGTAAATCGTTTTTATTCTTGATCTATCCATTACGTTATGTTCCATTTCCTGGTAGGAATTCTGTTTTAATTTCGCATGCTGTTCAAACACATAAGCACTTGATGTGCATTACTGACGTACTGAGGAAATGCTACAGCTTGATGTCTATGTACATTTGGAACTTTAGTTCTAACGAGATGTGTCTTGTGGAGTATATTGGCTTCCAGTACAACTGAGCATGATTTATTGGCAATATACTGCTGCACTACATTATTCCCGAGTCAAGCATAACATTTTGGGCATAACTTTACATGCAGTGCAATTTGGCAAAATAGATGAGAAATTCCTTCTTATTCCAGAACCACTTAAATTTCCCCCGTACCTATTTCCCCATTTGATCTTTGTAGGAGATATTGGCACAATGACTTTATGTTTTTAGCAGTATTGTTTGTATTTTCTTTTGCGAGAAATGCTTTAGAAATTGGACTGTAGCAGTTTGGTCTCTTGAGCTCACAAGATCTGTTCTTACTAACAGAGCTGCTTACAAACGTACCGGTCATTAATTACCAATTAATGGTTGCATAATCTGACTGCTTTCTCTCCTATGGATCATGCTTACAGTTGAGTATCCACTGATTCCTAAATGCTTGAACTGGCTATACATCTCCTTTTGTAAATCATTCTAGCTCCTGATTACCAGCTAGGCAAATTTTAACATGCTCCCTCTTACCCCAGCTTTTTACATGTCAGGTAAGAAGGTAAGAGTTAATTAGACCACCAATTAATGAGATCAACGGGTCAGATCTATTATATGCTCTTACCTCTCATGTGAAAAAAGGAGATAAGGGGGAGCATGTTAAAACTGCTCAACTACCAACTAACAGCTGCATAAGAGGACTTCGCTTTCTCCCTTGTTAATCATGCTTCCAATTCAGTGCCTACTGATTCACATTGTCTAATATGCATGTACCGTTTTTTGTTTATAATAATCATGCTCTGGTTAAATAGTAAAGAGCATAGACCAACATTTCCTATAAGATTCTCCAAACAAAATATATATTAGAGAGCTACTTAGCGCCTACCTTTTCAATACCAATTACTGCCAGTAAATAACCCTATTGTGGATATTTGGGTAACTTCAGAATTATTATTTTCTTTGCTTTCTTGCACTCAGAGAAAAAACGACCACACCCTACACAACTTCTGGGAGCCAAGGTCGTTTTAGCCTTTTGTCATCTCTATCTCAAGGTTGCTTATTATGTGGAACTTCCTACAATCTTTTCTTTCTTTTTTGTTCACTGCTTCATTGCTGCTCTAGCAATTAGTTTGTACAATTCCTTTTCTAAATGGAAGTACCTACAAATCTAAGTGAACTTGTGCCTTCTCCATGTCATTTATCGTATTTTATTTTGGAAGGTTGCTAATTATATACTCCATCTATTTTCTTTCTTTTTTCTTTCATACTTGATTGTTTTCTTGAGGCCACAAGGGATTTTCCGTGTTTCTAAGGTTCTAATGGCCTGAGATTTAAGTATAGAGTGGCATGCCATGCGTTATCAGTATAAAACTTAGGCCCCTGGAACTTCCCATTTCTAGCATCATTGCTATCTTACATAAAGCTGACAATTTTATCATGAGATTTTCCTTGGTCCTTAGATAGTGTGGTCTGGTCACATGAATTTCTACAGATTTCAATCCTAATATTAAAGCAACTCAAATGTTTGCATACATCGTGCTGATCGGACATCATCCGTGCTAATTAATTCTCTAAAAGGACAGTTGATTGTTCCACGAAGCCGAGCTGTTATGGATTTGGCGCATTGTATATCATCCATGCTAATGAATTCTCTAAAAAGACAGTTGATTGTTCCAGGAAGCTGTGTTAAAGTTGCACATGTGGTCTTCTTGAGTGTTTCCAAGTATATATGTAGTATGAAAACTGACCGGTAGTGATTAAATAAATGGGGTCTTGAAACAGCCTCATTGTTGGCATCATCTTCTATTTGTTAGCGAAGAACAATCCTTTTTTTAGCTAACCTCAGGTCTAAGAAAAGAACTAGAGCTTTGCAATTTTGTATCCAGTAGCCACTATCACCACGTACTGTAGATCACTTATGCATATACCGCCTAGACTAGATGCACCCTTTTCCCACCTACTGTAGATCACTTATGCATACACCCTTTTCTTATATGAACTACTTTGTCGTGAATTAAGCCTTGAGACGACTTACCAAAAATTACCAAAAAAAAAACAAATAACTAATTTGTCGTGAATTAAGCCTTGAGACGACTTACCAAAAATTGCAATAAATAAATAAATAACTTACCAATCCATGTGGCGCGGCGTGCCGCCGCGCACTACACGCTAGTGTCATCTAGTACAAGAAAGAATTTTTTGTCCTTGATGGCATTCATGAGAGCAACGACAAGTAGGGCCTTGTCTCGAGCCCCACCCACTCCAGGCAAGTCTCCGCCAGCAGCAGTGATGGCCGTACTCAACAATTCAACATCGTTGAAATCTCGTGTGATGCTAAGCCATATCTTCTTAGCGAACTTGCCTTCGATAGCCTCATCATTGAATACCTTCTTGCAGAGAGTGGTCTTGCCAATCCCGCCTACACCAACAATGGCGACCACCATGAGGTGATCAACCTTGTCACCAACTGCCTCCCTTGTAAGCACCTCCACAAGTGCTCTTGTGTCCTCCTCGATCTTCTCGCCAACCGCACCCGACCTCTCCATCAATGAATCTGTTTTGCGATCAGTGGCAAGAGATCGAGTTGCCTTCCGGTCTTGGTAGGCTTCTAGCTTGATGAAATTGAAACTGCCACCCCACTTGCAGATGTCATCCAACTTTTGATTGAGGTTCTTGATGCGGGTGCCGATACCATGGACATGCAGGGGATTTCGGATGCAAAAGAGGAGCGCGTGAAGGCACCCCGTGTCCGTGGATGGACCTTGCTCCATGATCTTGAGCTGGCATAGGTCGATGATGTCGGTGGCCTGGTACATGGCACGCTTCAGTTCCTCCACCCACCCCCGCACACTCTCGTCGGTGATGGTCCTCCTATCGGCATTGGCAAGAACATTCTTGAGATCCCTGAGCTTGGCGTCTAGTTCATCGATCCCACTAGAGACCCCGATCATCATGGCTATGTCTTCGCTTGCCATTTTGGCGAGCATGTTGGTCACGTATGATGCCAAAGCACCCAAAACCACCGCCATATCGCAGGATTTGCCCGGGCAGCTGCTATACTGAAAATAGTGCATGCAAATCAAATTACTCCTCTTGATAACAACTTTTTAATTCAACAATCACATTCTAAAAGTTGGTTCATACATCTCACTGTTGAAAACGAACGTGCTGTGGATTCACTCACCAGCGAATAGCTTGCAAATGAAAAATATGGCTTACAAAGAAGAATGCCATTGCTATACGTGAAAACAAAACTGAACCACGAATGAATATCACAATGGTTACTCGAAATAAAATGGAGGGCACCATCTATTTTACACTAAAAATAGCTACGAAGCAACAACAAAGCTAGCGTTATCTAGTGAAGCTGAAATTAATTACCTTGAATCGATAGGGGAGTTCAGAGCTCCAGACCAACTCCCCGTAGGCTGATGCCTTTGTTTTCACAAATGGGCGTCATGGCTGGGTATGTATTCCTTTTTGTTTTTTGGCAGGGCAAGAAAGGGATTCTTGGATTGAACAAGGCAAAAGATGATGTGTTCCTTTTCCTTTTTGGCAGGGCAAGAAAGGAATTGGTTCCTTCCTTCCTTCTTGTGTTTGTTTGGTTCGACATCGTATCAAACTTTTTTTTGGCTCTGAAGGAAGTGAGTCTGTCCAAGCATCAGATTAACTGGTCCATATTACTAGAATACTAGACCCGTAAGGGTTCGAATTTTCTGGTTTTTTTGGAATTTTTTTTACTGCCCTTGTTTGAGGGACACGTGTGCAGGTTGGTTTTCTAGAGTGGACTGGTTTTATTTTTTGCTTGGTGGGATTGTTCTAGCACGTCTGATTCTGTGCATGCTTGCCATGTCCTGCCCAGATCGTTACGCCTTTCGTGCGGGTCGGAACTTACCCGACAAGGAATTTCGCTACCTTAGGACCGTTATAGTTACGGCCGCCGTTCACCGGGGCTTCGGTCGCCGGCTTCCCTGTCATCAGTTCACCAACTTCCTTGACCTTCCGGCACTGGGCAGGCGTCAGCCCCCATACATGGTCTTACGACTTTGCGGAGACCTGTGTTTTTGGTAGTGTCCTTGTGTCGTTGACTGCCACTCAATCGATGGACACGTTGCCTTCTAGGCTTTTCTGGTGGGCTTCATCTTTGTTTTTTCTCTTTCTACTGTCTATAAGTAGTTGGCCTGCTGTTGGTTCACGTTCTCCGTAAGCCCAACCCAGATTACTTCGCTGCTGTCTCCTGTCCTCCGTCTCTGCGCGCGGCCTCATCCTCCTCCAACCTGGTAGGCGGCAGCCCCTAGCGCCGGCCCTTTTGTTTCCCTCCACCGAGATCGAGATGGTGGTGCGCCGCTGCGCCCTATCCTCCCCAGCTTGGTCGCTGGCCAGCCCCTAACGCCAGGCCCTCCGTTTTCCTCCAGCGAGGCTGAGATGGCAGTGTCGTGCCGCGCCCCGCCGGCCTCGCCGTCCGGGATGCTCAGCAGGTGCTGCAGCGCCATCGTTAGCGGGGTCTCGGAGTCCAGCCCGAACATCCCACCCTCCATTCTTGCTCACTGATCGATCTCCTCGGTGTTGGATTACTTGTTGATTATATATAGGCAGGCTACCGGAGGACGTGCAAGCACCAAGCAGGCGGCAGACTATGCGCTCCCAACCTGCCTGCGAGGACGGAGAAGGAGCAGGATGCGCACTGTCTGTGAGGCCTGCTGCCACCGGTCGTCCTGCCCCATGAGCTTCACGAGAAGCGGCTCCCAACAAACATGCCCATGGACCTTCAGGTCAGTTCTACCTTCAGCGATACGTGCATTTCTGCAGAGGCGAATTTGGCATGCATGACAGCTTTAACGATTGGTGTTGAATGATGTGTTAATCTGTTTGCAGGAGAGAGATGAGAGCCTCTTATTGTTATACGAGCTCACGTATTTTTTTATCTTGAAGAAATCCTGTGGAAAATTTATGTACTAACCTTTATTAGGAAAGTATTATCCTTTCTTTTATTAAAAAAAGTCATCAAGATGAGGTTTAAAGTCCAATGTCTACAAACAATGAAACCATTTCTTCTATGATCTATCTGGCTTTTAATTATTGACTGCAACCAAAAATTTTGTTGTCAGTTTAGTAATGACATAGCTGAATGTATTTGCTATGACATGCAGGTAATTTGCATTTTTTTACCACTGTCATTCTATATGGATTCATACCATTGTGCGTTCTCTTACCTGGCACTAACTTCTGCTGCTTATGTTATCTGCATCCATCTGCATCAAGTATCATTTTATGACTATTGTACCGCATCCATATTGTTCTCATGTTTAGTAGTTATCAGATTGTTTGTATATGACGGATTAGAAAGCCTTATCACCTAACATTTATTTGAGTATTAATATGATAGTGCCAGATGTCTATAGATTTTTCTTCAGCAATCTGCGCAACTGAATCCGCAATTACCCAGCTAAAATAAGCTCCTGCTATTACTGGCTTAACAGTCTCTCTTCGCCATGTAGATCAGAATCGAAGCCTCCTCACCACGCGTGAGATTTTGTGCATGGTTGGGAGGGAGGCGAGTCTTCGTTTGTGTCCCTGCTGAGTCTTTTCCTGTTCGGTGAGTCTTCGTTTGTGTCCCTGCTGAGTCTTTTCCTGTTTGTTTCGTCTCTGTTATGGTTCGTTCCGGTGCTCATGCTTCCCAGCGTATTCGCTCCACGTCGTTGGGTTCTTCTTCCTTGGTGGGTTCCTCTTTGCCGGTTGGTGGTGTTGATGGGAGGTTTCTTGCCCAAGGTGGTTCTGTTCCTCGTGAGTATTGCTCCTTTTAGGTTGTTATTAGCTATGTGTGATTTTGGTAAAAAATTTGGTTGTTTTTACGTGGTTGTGTGTTTTCAGATTCGAGTGCTGATGAGGCGCGGCGGCAACGCCAGGCACGGCAAGATATCCGTCGTGGGAAGCGCCCTCTAGATTCATCGTCCGGTGGGTGCTTTCTTTGTTGAACTCCTTTTGTATTGTTTTCAGAAAAATATTGCTGATTGATTGACTTTTGCAGTTGGAAGGAACGTTTGGCCTGTACTTGAAGAGCTGGTTGATCCTTGTCTTCTTGCTGTTAGGGGTGCATCTGATGTCGAAGTTTTGTATCGTCCGTATTTTGTTGCTGGTTGGTTGTCTGGTTCCTCGCGTGGACCGACTCCTTCTGGTATGTTTATTTATTTTGTACTCCTTACAACTGTTTATATGCTTCGATGTGTTTGCTTGGTTAATATTTTTTCATGTTTACTTTCTGTAGTTCTTCCTACACCTGTTGTTAGTCGTGCTGATGCTGTTTGGAATCGTCGGAAGCGAAGGATTCTTCGAGATTATTACACTGGTAAAAAAAGAGGTGTGTTTCTTGATTTTGTTTGTTATGTTTACGGTTTTTAATTGCTTTGCTCCCGATCGGTTTAAGATTGAAAGTCTCTCTTGTGTTGTAGTTCCTGCTATGGAACCGCCATTTGCTAAGGAAAATATATTACTTCTTAAAGGTAGTTAAGTTTTATATTCTGTTCTTTAGATTCCTTATTTGTTTGTTTTCCCTTACTCCTTGCTGTTTTTGTTATTTATGCCAGCCGTTTCACGTGTTCGCTCTTATTATGGTGGTCCTGAGTATGTTTGCCCGGCGTGCCATGCTTCATTTTGGTTTTTGGAGGGCTGTAAGACTTATGCTGCCGGTGGTGGTCGCCTTCCAGTGTATAGTGGCTGTTGCAAGGGAGGCAAGGTGTCGTTGCCTTCATTTCCAGATTGGCCATCTCCTCTTAAGGATTTGATTAAGTTTGATGGAGGTCCTGTCTCTAGCCGTTTCATGCGTTTGATTAGACATTACAATTCTATGTTTTGCTTCACATCTCTTGGCGCTCGAGTTGATCAGAGTATTAATGTTGGCGGGGGTCCCTATGTTTTCAAGATGAATGGGGTGGTTTATCATCGTATTGGTCCTCTTATTCCTTCAGGGAATAGTGCGCCAAAGTATGCTCAGCTTTATATGGTGGACTCTGCTGATGAAGTGCAGTTGAGAATTAGTGCCTTTGATCGTCAAGGAGCTGAAACGCTTGATCCTGATCCAGGCATTGTGGCCTCTCTTATTGCTATGTTAAATAGGCATCATAAATTGGTGCATAAGTTTAGAATGGCTAGGGCAAATCTGTGTTCTCCTTCTGCTCCTAGGGTGGCTATACATGTTATGGGTGATGAAGGCGGTGGTCATGGTGACCGTTTTTCTGGTCCTGCTTCATGTGAGGTGGCCGCTCTTATTGTCGGCGATTACACGCTTGAATGTAAAAGATTTGATGTTATTGCTAAAACTCGCTCTGGTTTTCTTCAGCATATCTCTTCGTTGAATTCGAGTCTTATGCCCCTACAGTATCCTCTATTATTTCCCTTTGGTGACAAAGGATTTCATCTTGGTATCAAGTATATTGCTACTGGTGGGCCTCATGGAGATGGGCATTGTAATATTGGTGGGCGTTTACGTGGTCGTTCTTCAGGAGGGCAAGTATCTATGATGGAATACTATAATTATTACTTCCACTATAGACGGGGGGAGCCAAATCCTTATACCTGTTGTGGTCGTTTGAGCCAGCAGATAGGTGTGAATTCTTATTCTTGTGTGGAAGCTAATCGTTTGGACTTTCACTTTCAGCAACAAGATGATTTACGTTCTGAGACTTATCAAGGTATTACTGATGTTGTCGGACAGGGTGGATCAACTGGTGAGAATTTGGGGATTCAGTTTATATTACATTCGAGTTTTACGGGTGGTCCTTGGTACATGATGCTTAATTACCATGATGGTATGGCTATTTGTCGCGAATATGGTGCTCCCGATCTTTTTGTCACTTTTACATGCAATCCAAAGTGGCAAGAAGTTGTTGATGCTCTCGCATATGAAGGTGGTCAGACTCACGTTGATCGTCCTGACGTTGTTACACGTGCTTTCAATATAAAATTTGAAGAATTTTTAGAAGATGTAAAGAATGGATCAGCATTTGGAGCTATTCAAGCTTGTGAGTTACTA